GTTAACTTCACGCTTTAGCACTCACAAACTAAAAAGAACAATTGAAATTACCGCTTATAAGCGTAAGCGCTCACAGCGCATAAACATCCAAAGGAAACGCAGTTTATAGCTGCGTTCGGCATTGCAAATCAAAGACATCCGTTTGCTCTTTTACCTAGAAAATCTATACGTATACATAGACGAATACTATAGATTTTCAAGGTGAAAGAGGAAACGGATGCCTCCGATTTGCAATGCCGAACGCAGCGTATGTATAAAGTTCATTATCCTGGTGAGAAAACACGTGACCAGAACTACTGTAGCAGTTGGTCATTATCGGTCACGTGTTGTTTACCGCTGAAATTGAACGTCAACGTAAAAAGGCACCTTGAGTGATATGTTTTGCACATTTGTAAATAATACGAAATTAGTTGTACAACGTTTAATAACGGACATACATGCCATTATTGTGAATTTCAGGCTCTTTCGTACTTCGCTGAACTATCTGATATATATGCAATGACTACGATAGCGCACTTGCACATTGAAGTGATTAATATCATTTTATGCGATGAGAGCATCAGCTTTAAGGATATTATGAGTTTAGCTTTCTCATGCAAGAAATTTTACAACTTATTAACCACTGACAATGCATTTTGGCGGAAGAAATTTTATCAGAGGTATTTTTTCACATTGGTTTTTATGCAAACAAGCTTAATTTATCTTATTCGGGATGCAAGTTTAGTGATAAGCAAATATCTTATTTCATTTGTCTTGAATAAATTTTCTATTTTAGTCAAAATTTGAAATGTATAGTAACGTTTGTTTTAAAATTTTCATTTCGGTTACAATAACTTTATCTGGCTTGTATAATTTTGGAAAATTATATAAAGAAACTGTAAAATATGTAAAATTATATAACTTTGAAAAATGACATGTATTTTTTGTTTCAATTTTAGATGGCCTTATCTAAGAGAAGAATATGACGAACATCTGCGCCTAGAAAATAAAAGTTTTCTTGAACAAGTAAAAGCGGGTGTAAAATGTAAGAAAGAATTATGGCATTACTTGTCGCTGATGTGTATTCACCAACGCTTTGGCAAATTGGCTGATTTTGATGTTGATTTTACGCATTTTCATTCACTGTTTGATCCAGATAAAAGCGCATCTTTTATGAATTATTATTTCTTTGTAAATGAGCTGACAAACTTTCTTACAGATCCTCCAATGTAAGATTTAACAAATTGTTAAAACAACAGATTATGACGCATTTATTGCATATTTAATTCAGAAAATACTAGATTTTAAATATTGTATACAAATTGTTTTAGGAAATCCGATTTCAGACTAACATTATGCATAAAGAAGCTTTTTTTATACCTGCAGCGTTATCGTTTAAAGAAGAAAATGCACGAATTTCTAAATTATCCTGAGAAACAACAGATTTTAGAAAAAGCAGCCTTCATTTTAGCACAATGGTATCAACCCCAAAAATGTATGTCTTACTTGTATGTGAGTACGTCACTGCAGAAGATTGCAGAGCAGGTATTGGAGTGCCTTCGAAAAGAAAATCCGGCGCATTCAATATTCTCGATATCAGAAGAGCAGCTTTTCCTTTGGGCAGACAATAATATCGATGACAATCATTGGAATAGCATAGAAGGAAGACAGATTATAGAGAGTCTTTGTAAAGTTTTATATAATTTAGATTTTCGTAAAGCTATTTACAAATTTGGGTGTAGGAGATACATTCTTCAATACTCTTATATAGATTGCGTAAGTTATAAATTATAATACATTATGAATACTTAACGTTGTCAGCACAGTTCTTTGCTTGTTATGTCTCAATATTAATATTTTTTATTGTAATTTGTGACAGGTTTTACAAGATAAAATTGGTACTACGATAATTCTGGCAACAATATATCACAGTGTGGCGAGAAGACTTGGAATACGCTGCGATATAATATTCCATAAACCTAATATGGACTATTTGTTATGCTGGAGAGCGAAATAGTATAAGTATAGTTTTAATGCAAGTCTAAATTTTCATTCTTATCATATTTATATATATTTATATATATATATGTCTTTTTTATCATAGTCATACCACGAATCTCAAAGAAAAAGAATGTTTTTGTATTGACTTCAGGCGTGATGAAGAAACCGTGAGTACAAATTACTGCCCTACAATTAATAGTGCAAAATATGGTATTAATGAGTATACGAAGGAAAGTCCTGTAAAGGTTAGCAGTTATTCATATTTTATAGTAATAGTTAATTAACATAATAGATAACAGAAAATCAGTTGTAGATGCTAGCTAATATGTGTTATGTCAGTATGGAGCATGTTTCATTAATATGATAATATTAATAATAGAAGAAAAAGGAATAAAATAAATTTGCAATCTTAGCTTTGCTTATATCATAATCTTTACTTCAAGGTGATGACATATATGAATATTGATTTGTATTTAAAAAGTGAACCCAAAGTATTTATACGACAGTCATATCAGGAATTACGGTCTCTAATAAACCAGATACACTTGTAATTGAAGAACTAGGTCTCATATATGTACAGCATCAGACGGATTTATCCAATCTCATGGTTATGTTGCAGAAGATTCAGATACCCTGATGGAAATATTTTTCTGAAAATTTAACGAAATTTTGCTGAAATGTATTTGAAAATTTCTCTCAATTGACTCCATTCATTAATTTCATAAATATTTCAGCAATTTTTCATTAAAAAGTAACAGTTTTCAGTTTATTTCAGTAAATTTTATGATAATTATTTCAAAACTCTTTTTTATTACTTTTCAGCAGTATATTTTAACTTTCCTTATATTTCATAGTATTACATTAAATTTTCATACAAAAAATTATGATTTATTTTGAAATATTATATATTCAGTAATTTTTCAAAAACTTATTTCACTTTTCATTGATTTCATAGTACTTTCAGCAAAATATTTCCATCAGAGTATATATAAATAAATTTGTGCATAATATATACATAAAGAATTATGTATAACAGAACATAAATATAAACAAAATATTTCCATCAGGGTATATATAAATAAATGTGTGCATAACATATACACAAAGAATTATGTATAACAGAACATAAATATAAATAAAATATTTCCATCAGGGTATATATAAATAAATGTGTGCATAACATATACACAAAGAATTATGTATAACAGAACATAAATATAAACAATTGTTTTAATTCTCATAAAACTTTCTTTTTTTTTGCAACATTGTTTTCTTACACTATACGGCAAGAAATTAATGTCAGAATGAAAATTTGTATAATGTTCATATAAATTTTTTAAAAATCCAAACATTTCTATTGCATAAACATATGTTTCTGTATAAGTACACCTTTAAACAAAAGATATTTTCAAATAAATTTCGTGCTTCTGCAGGACAATTGTACTAACTCTGAGGAGACAAGATGTGTGGAACAGTTGTTGAATAAATTTAAAAGTTATATATATACAGTTACGGTATGTAATTACCGCAAATGCTCTCTCCAGGTCCTCCATGCACAGGCCATAAACTAAGGAATGCGTAGGCCGGTATTCATAGTCCGTTCTTATATTCAAAATCGTCTTAAGTACGGACTTATATTCGCTCTCTTCGTCACACATAGATTGTGTCTGACGAAGAGAGCGAATATAAGTTCGTTCTTAAGACGATCTTGAATATAAGAACGGACTATGAATACCGCCCTATGAATACCGCCCGTAGTTTATATTTACTACGTCTATGGTTATAACTATTTCATTGCTACTACCTTTATCATATAAAATACCTAGATTGAATTTATTCGATAGTGCTGCCAATATAAAACCGTGACACACAGCGGCAAACATCTTTTCAATTGCACATGGAAACATTGGATTTTGTTTACGATTGATAATTTGACAGTCGTCGCGAAATTTGGCAATATCTTTTGAGATATGGGAGACAAGTCGCCTAAAGAGCAATCTATAGAAAACACAGGTATTTTTTGTGTAATCTATCGTTGAGAAATTAAGTGCAGTGATTTATTATCTTAATTTTTATTGCAGATGTCAACCAAGATGAGTTGATACTTCAACAACAGAGACGTATTGAGAAAGAGGTTAATATGTATTTTTATACTAAATTTAAAGTGTATTTTCAAAAAATTCATTAGGTTAATCAGTCTTCCTTAATTGATACAATCAAAGATAAAATTTATCATATATTCGAATTAGCTTTCATCATCTTCTTGAAGTATGATATTTATTTTCTATAAATTTTAATGAATTAAAGAATATGTAAATACTATAACCACTTATCATTATTTTCTTTTTAATAAAGCATAAATTTCATGAAAGAAAAATCTCATATAGATCATGAAACGGTCATTCGATATGTGATATAATGGTTTCTTATATTCCAGATTTCTGAATCTATAGCTTTAGTCGGTGAAAAAGAACCATTGAAGAGCTTAGAACAAGAATATGCAGAAGATGATGTGTATCTGTCAAAAGCAAAAGCTTTGGCTCAACAATATTCCTATATTAGAAGAACTAGGCCTGATGGCAATTGTTTCTTCAGGGCATTTAGTTATGCTTATTTGGAAAAATTAATTGAGAATAAAGAAGAATATAATAAGTTTCGAGATTTAGCTTTAAAGAGCAAGGATAGTCTTGTAGCTTTAGGTTTTCCCCAATTTACAGTCGAAGACTTTCACGACACGGTAAGGCTTCACAAATTTTTCACAAATTTTCAATTTTACATGTGTTAGCATATTGACTTAACATTTATTGCAAAAGATGTGACTTGATTCTAACAAATTTTTATTACAGTTCATGGAAGTCATCGACAAAGTAGGAGGGGACACACAATCCAGTCATATGGAATTACACAAGTTATTCAATGAACAAGGATATTCTGATTATGTTGTTGTATATCTTAGATTAATTACATCAGGACAGTTGCAACGTGATGCCGATTTCTATCAACATTTTATTGAAGGAGAACGTACCATAACAGAATTCTGCCATCAGGTTTGTCTCTTCATGTTGATATCTATATATCTGTATCATTATTTACATGATTAATTTTTCATTATAACGTTGATATTCATTCGGATATATTTTTTTTTATAGGAAGTTGAACCAATGTATAAAGAATCTGACCATATTCACATTATAGCAATGAGTAGTGCTCTAGGAACTGGTGTTAGAGTTCGTTATATGGATAGAGGTGCTGGAACTGAAGTAACTGCCCATGACTTTCCTGAAGGTGCACCACCAGCTGTACACTTGTTATATCGTCCTGGTCACTATGACATTCTTTATCCTTGATGAATTTGATATTATGCAAGTTTTTCTAATACGATACGATATAAATACGATATGATTGATTTCTGGTGACCAAATTTCTTCAAATTCTATTTTCAAAAACATTTTAGTTATAGCATATTGCAATTTAGTATCTTACTTTCAATCTAAATAAGAAATTCTATGTATACAGATTTTAAAAGTTCCCAAGTGCATGAATTCAATGATATCTTGTTTATAAGCATCAATTTAGACTTTAAAACTAACGATCTGGAATAAATGGAAAAAAAATCGATATCATGTTATTCAAGTCTTGCATTTTTTCCCCTATTTTCTCTTTCTCTAAATGAATAATATTGTTAGATGTTACATAATGATATAAAGACAGTCATCTAAAAGAAAAATAGCACATTTCAGTAATTTTAAAGAAAATATATATACACACAAGTAATCTTTGTACAATACAAAAATATGTATTGTTATATCAAAACTGTAGTAAACAAAACTTTATTATATGATGAATACCACAAAATAATATAAAAGTTGAGAGATTCCATTTTAAAGAAAAAAAAGACTTGTTTCAAAAATTTATAATTTTAAAAATTCATGACGTACAAAGATTCTTGCAGTTTTCAGACTGTGTTGCGTCAAAACCATGTTCTCGAAGTACTTTATATTATACAAGGGTTATTTGTATTTCAATTATATATTCATAATATAATGTAATTATGTAATTATATATAAAAAATATAATATCCGTAATAGAATAAATTATATCTTCTTGATATGTGTTATTTATTAAACAAGAAGTAATATATATCTTTGTATAAATATATCACAGAAAGAGTAAAATTAAAGACATTTTATAGCTTTTATAGACTTGATATAGTATGGAAAAAGACAGGTCTAGTAGCTACATATACTATTTTTAAATTATAAATTGCATCTCTGAAAGATTGCATTGTGCTCATTCTGAAAACTTTTTAAACTTAAAATTGTTAACAACTATACATATAAGTCTGCAATATAACATTCATACCACATTGTTTATAAATACATATCCTGCAGATATTAAATAAAACTCTTATATATAACATGAAATAAATATGCATCAATACGTTATCGTTGCATTGATCGTACTTGCTCGGTGACTTCCTCCAACATTGCAGAATTTTTGTCGATTGCATCCATTTGATATTCTAAATGAGTGGTAATAAGAGCAATTTTCTTTAAATTAGATTCCATCATTTCCAATCCATTCTCCTGTTGTGCAAAATTTCTCGATGCATGCATTAAGATCTAAGAAATTATAAGTTATATAGTAATAGAAATATTAATTCAATAGTGTATAGTGTAAACTCCCATACAAAGGCTAAGCTAAAGCATAAAATATTACTTCGCTGCTTTTTGAACCTCTTTGTATTTGTCTGGCGAGAGAAGCAATGTTATTAACATTAACTTGCACTCTATCCGCTAATCTCATCTTTGATTCAATGAAGAGGCTACGTGCGCTTGTGCTAGATGCTGATGCCATGTTGTACTGTTTTTCATTAATCGTGGGATAAGTTTTACTCTTAATGTTATCCAGGCCTATAGATAGATTATACGTATTCTTGATTAATTACAGAAGAAACACTATTTTATTATCTGAAAACATACAGATGTCATATGATTGAAAGCAATGTCTTTTATAATTTGTGTATTACTATGAAACATTAAAACGTCACCTTAGATATGTTTTATGTATACACTTACATTTGACATTTCGTTGACAGATTACATATGACATATGTGAACGCTAAGAAAATCAATTCACACACATAACTAAAAAGAAGCGCGCATAACATACATATAAGTATGTATGTGAAAATTGATAACTGGAGTAGGTAGATATCAAAATTGAAATCTTTTCAGCACAAACGGTTTCAAAAAATTAGCAAAGAAATAAAAACTAGTTTGTTAAAAATTTTCGTCTCCTATGTAAGTCACAATAAAATTAAATATCAATATGAAAACGAAAGTCTAGTCGTCTATCTCGAATGCGCTATCCTAAACGATATATTCCTCACACATTCAGAAAATGTAACAGTTGAGTGATCAGCTGAGTGTTAGAAAACGAATCTGATTGGACAATCTGGAAACATACACCAATCACATCATAGCACATTTGTATTTTCAGAGTATCTATTTGAAGTGTTCGATGCTTAACTGCTTGTGAAATTTTAACCTATAAATCATTGTTAAAACGGAATTATTCACATAAATAAAATAATGGTGGTGTAAAATATAAATCAAAACCTATATTGAAGAAAATCATATCATAAAATGTGTATATAATTTGTAACGAGTGATTGTGGAAACCCGTACAGGTTAAGTTTTAAGAAAATATATTTTTCTAACATTGCACAAAATAAATACACAATTCTACTAAATATTTTTTTATGTTTATAGAAATTTATAAAATAATTTGGATATACATTATAAGGATTATAATTCAATTATGAGATGTAAGACTAAAAGTTTTATCAATAATACAAAGAAAAAATCAGAAAATGAAGACAACAGAGATAAAACGAAAACATCTCATAATAAAAATAATGATGAGAAGAAAGCATTAAAGAATATAAACATCCAAAAAGATGAGTTTGAGAATAAAAATATGAAAAATAAGATGGAAATATCAGAGAGCGAGGATAATGATGAGGAGGAATCATTAGAGAATATAAACACTCATAAGAATGAGTTTAAGAATAAAAAGATGAAAAGTAAGATAAAAACATTAGAAAATGAGAGTAGCGATGAAAAGAAAGCATCAAAGAATATAGACACCCAGAAAAATGAAAACATTAAAGATACAATGGAAACATCAAAAAATGAGGATAATGATAAGAAGAAAACATCAAAGAATGAGGACAGTGATAAAAAGAAAGCATCAAAGAATGAGGATAGTGGTAAGAAGAAAGCATCAAAGAATATAAACACCCAAGAAAATGAAGGCATTAAAGATACAGTGGAAACATCAAAGACTGAGGATAGTGATAAGAAGAAAGCATTAAAGAATATAAATACCCAGAAAAATAGAAACATTAAAGATATGATAGAAACATTAAAGAAAGAGGATAGTAATAAGAAGAAAGCATCAAAGAATGAGGATAGTGATAAGAAGAAAACATCAAAGAATATAAACATCCAGCAAAATGAAAACATTAAAGATACAAAGGAAACATCAAAAAATGAGGATAGTGATAAGAAGAAAGCATCAAAGAATATAAACACCCAGAAAAATGAAAACATTAAAGATACGGTGGAAACGAAGACTGGGGATAGCGATAAGAAGAAAATATTAAAGAATATAAACACCCAGAAAAATGACAACATTAAAGAAAGAAAGGAAACATCAAAGAATGAGGATAGTGATAAGAAGAAAACATCAAAGAATATAAGTCCCCAGAAAAATGACAACATTAAAGATACAAAGGAAACATCAAAGAATGAGGATAGTGATAAGAAGAAAGCATCAAAGAATATAAACACCCAGCAAAATGAAAACATTGAAGATACGATGGAAACATCAAAGACTGAGGATAGTGATAAGAAGAAAACATTAAAGAATATAAACACCCAGAAAAATGACAACATTAAAGAAAGAAAGGAAACATCAAAGAATGAGGATAATGATGAGAAAACATTAAAGAATTTAAGTCCCCAGAAAAATGACAACATTAAAGATACAAAGGAAACATCAAAGAACGAGAATAGTGATAAAAAGAAAGCATCAAAGAATATAAACACCCAGAAAAATGAAAACATTAAAGATACGGTGGAAAGATCAAAGACTAAGGATAATAATGAGAAAGAAGCATTAGAAGACACTGATAAAGATGAGTTTGAGAATGAAAATATGAAAACTAAAATGGAAATATCAGATAGTGAGGATAATGATGAGGAGGAATTATTAGAGAATATAAACACTCATAACAATGAGATTGAGAATACAACTATAAAAAGTAGGATGGAAATATCAGAGTGTGAGGATAATGATGAAGAAGAATCCTCAGAGAATACAAACTGCGATGAAAATGAGTTTGAGAATGAAGACATCAAAATTAAGATGGAAATATCAGAGAATGAGGATGATGATGAGGAGGAATCATTGGAGAATATAAACACTCACAAAAATAAGTTCGACAATGATAGCATTGAAGTATTATATACAGGAATGTTACAAGAAGAAAATATCGACGTAAAAAAGGATATAAATAAAGATACTTGTGAATCTAAGGATGAAAGAGACGAATATTGTAGTGATGCAACATATTTAGCACGACAAATGGAATCGGCGGAGAAATTAACTGGTTTAGACTCAGTCGTAGGTATTCTGAAAGAATACTAGACATTTAATGTAATAAAAGCTTTGTGTAAATGGAATATATATATATAATATTTTATTACAGAAATTATATAAGTTATGCGTACAATTGAGACATACAGTGCCACCACAACACAAGATTGAAACACGCGCAGGATCTCATACGCCAACGGCAGAAGAAATAAAAAAGTTTGAAAATATAGTACCAATTCGGAAAGGCTCATATTCCGCTGTTGAGGACGATATTATTGTCGCCAATTGGAAAGCATTTTGTAAGGTTAGTTGCTTAATGTTTATAATTTCTTGAACATAGTCCAGAAATCTTTTATTACATATATATTAAATGTAAAAGCTATTTATAATGTTAATTCTGATATAGATACATGATTGGGATATAAAAAAATTGAAACCATTCTTACAATTAAGGATTGGCAAATTGACATACATGCGTAATACTACAGAAAGACGAAAATTTGTACAATTCTTAGCTGATGGTCTACCAAATAGGACTTTGTATAGTGTTTACCATAGATTTAGAAATTTATATGAAAATAATGTACAAAGAAGGTAACATATAACAAAATTATGCATGTTTATGCATGTCACTTCATCATTTTCTAGTTATTTCTATATAACTGCTATGGCAATCAATTAGTATCAATAGCTTTTTATAATAGCAATGGGAATTATAATCTATATTAAAATTATTAGGTATACATCTGAAGAGGACGAAATGATTATAGATCATCTAGAAAATAACCCATCTCTTGAAGAAAAATGTAAATATGTTGACTTGGCTAAAGTTCTGAAAAGAACGAGACATTCTATTTGGCGGCGTTACAGAATATTAAAGAAAAAAAATAAGAAACGGAAGAATGCATGATGAATTACTTAACTTAAGTAAACGTAAGATTATTTTATGTATTATTTTAAATAACGTAAGATTATTTTATATCAGTTAAGAAAAAACATCTATTTTGATATAGTGTGAAAATAAATCATATTTTATGCTTATTTTGTCCCACCCGAAATTTTATCCCTCCCGAAATTATTTTATTCTATCTAGCGTATAAAATACTTTTATCTTGATGTTTTTCGCGACTGATCCGGCGTTTTACGCAAAACACAAAGCGTAAAGCTCGATTCAGTTTTCGCTATTTGTGTCCAAAATTCGTGTTGATAGTCGACCATTAATATGATCGATCAATATCAACATTGTTTCGAAATTCGTGCTCAACCATTATCGATGGGACCATAAATTTCGAATTTCCGTGCTCGACCATGGAATTAATTAAGCCATAGGACCACGAATGCACAGGCACGCTAAGAAAGATTAAGATAAAATTGATACATAGATATAAGATAAGATAGATATGAAAAAAATATATTTATGTGAAATCTCTATTCATTTGAACAATAAAATTAGAGCTAAGGATTTTATTAATTAAAAAATAAATATGTAATCAATTATCTATATCAGTGATGAGCAACCCGCGACCCCCTATATTAAAAGTATTATTAATAAAAAGTAAATCAAATTTAAAAAAAGTTTCATTGTCGAAAATAACGAATTCTATTATATAAATTAAATTTTTTAAATTAATATATTTAAGTATTTAATATTGCGTTCGTTGCGGTATGGAATATTAGGTTTTCAATTTTGGCACACTGTAGAACAAAGGTTGCTCATCATTGATCTATACAATTAAATAATATATGTATATCATATTAAAATTTGCATTCTCATGATGTTCATATATTTATTATTAAAATTTTGTGTATGTATAATCTTTTTAGCGTGCGATAATGTTTTATTATATAATTTTCACATGTGTATCATAGTGTGCACATATATATTGATCACCTGAACTAATTTCTAGCCCATTCCATTTTGATAAATAAATCTATGAAATGTATTTTTTGGACTTTTTGTACTTTTTTTTACTCCTACATTAATTGAAAAAGAACAAGCTTTTTGAATCAACATGTACTGTTTTTGAATTCTGTTTCAAATTTAATTTGAATTTATTAAAATAATAAATAGTTTATTTTTCTAGAAATTAATGTATATATAATTTCAAATATTTTAAAAATGCGCGAGAATATATAAAACTTTTATAAAATCAATATTATATAATTTACAATGTGTTAATTTTTAGATATACATGTGTTTCATAGATCCATTATCTTCATAAAGACAAATTAGACTTACCATACGATGTGTAGCAATGGAACTGTTGATCTGCGAAGCTGATCTGTAAAATACAAAAATATATCCAGATTATTAAAATATTGAAAACAATTAATATTCGCGCGTGCGAGAAAAAATGGTTGCACACATTGAACTTTTATTTGCTTTTGAAATCAATATCTAACGGAAAAGATTTAACTATATAAAATAATAATAAATAAATATTTTAAAAAATATAATAATCATAAATATTAAATATTTTACATATTTTATTGACTATATTTTACTAAAATTTTCAAATATTTTATGTGTACTGCTTTATATATGATATTTTATAGTTAATAAATAAATGATTAATTACATCTTCATTGCTCCACCGGCGCCCGATGTCCTTCCTGGACCTGCTCCTCCTCCCAGTCCTCTTCGAGTCTTCATCTTCCTTGGCAGTCCTCTTCAAGCACTCACACTCACACGCTTTCGCGACGAAAATCGCGCGCGATATTTTGAACAACACTCTTGGTGCGTATTTTGTGATCTTATGATAAAAGTAATACTCGAATATATTTAGTATCACATAAAATACGACGCATTTGAAACAGAAAACGAAGGAGGAAGGATCGGAAACTACGGAATAATAATTTGGTATCTTATAATGTAAACACACTAAAAGAGTTAAAGTATAACACACGTAAATGTTAAAATAAAAAAAGCATAGAATAAAATATTATTAAATGCGATAGCTAAATAACAATGCAAGCTCTCGAGTGAGAGATATTGATAGGAAGCAATGTTAATATTTACCGCGGTTGTAATTACGATGGAGAATTATGTTAGGAAAATAGCAAGGATAGTGGTGGGCAAGATAACGGCTCCGATATGAAACGATCTACCGTTTAAGTGTCGTCGTGCGAATGATAACAGGACAATCGGATGTAGCTACAAGGTCTCGCCGATTCCGAGTCGGAAGAATGCGTAAATTCACACGAATCGGCGGAACATCGCCAGCAAAGCTTCGCTGCATGAAATTGTACTTTAACCAATATAACGCGCGCAAGAGAAAGTGTGCGAGAGAGAGAGAGAGAGAGAGAGAGAAGATATAGAGCGCGCGAAATATTCCATGTATAAAATATTTATGAAATATTTTACGTATTATAAGACATTTACATTCAAAATTTTAATTTTGATAAATAGATTACTATTGTCTTTTCTTTTATCTTTTATTTTTATTATAACCCATCTTTATAATCTCTACCTGTAGATTCGTTAGCTTTGTTGAATTTTAACTCATACATTTATTTATTTGTGTTATAATACGACATAATAAAATGCTATGAAAGTTTTAAAACGCAAAATTCTAATAAAGCAAAATTAATTTTTAGACAACGTTAAGAACGCTATATTATAAATAGATGGATATTAAATCATTTGTTGTAAAAATAAAACGCAGTAAATATATTATGGTTTTTAAAAAATTCATTTAATTGCGATATATATTATAAGATGGAGAGATCTATATTATGACAAAAGTTATGCATTGAATAATACTTATCCGCAATACAAAAAATATAATAAGATGTTAATACTAACTAAAATTTTAAAATACAAACTTTACTTACTTTTTCATTTAGAGAATAAGATTTACATGCTTTTATAGTTTTAGCTTTACATGCGTTAAATGAGTGATAATCAGTCTCGCCTATATCTATTGTAATAACTGATATTACTTATATGTATGTATATTTGTACATTTGTCAATTATTTTCAATTTATAAAATTCATTGTTGTTTTCCGTTCTGATCGTCTCGCTTGATTAAAAATTTAAATTAGTATTTTTTTTTTAAATACAATTTATTGAAGAACATGTTATTAATTAATTAAATGGGATGTGTCTACTCAATAAGAATATTAATTGAAAATCATATTCTAATTACTACTTGCAAATAGAATATCTTCCTTTAAAAGAATATTATATGTCTGTGCTAATTATATTATATCTACTATATAATATTAAGACTTTTTTTATTAACGAAGGTAAAAAAGGTATGATAAAAATTTTTGTACACAGTAACACATGCATCATGGTAATTGTTATCATTTTGTATTACGTATGATCCAAGTTACTGTAAGTATTAATGTGAATATTCTTTTCGTTCTTCATTCTCTATACTTCACAATGATTGTTCTTTCGTTTAATTATGATGTACTTTGGCGATTAAATCTGCCGATTAACTTTGCTAAATAAATAAAACTTATCAATTTCTTTTATCCAGTTATCATTATGTGATCACAGCCCAGAAATTGTATACCTGATATTACACATGTAGCGAATATATCCCAACATGTCAGCTATTAAAATTGTTAAGCGATATTTTTAAAATTAAGCAATTAACAAAGTATGTCACATTTTGTGTTAGAATCTTTTATGAATTTATATGCCACACGACGAGTTGCTGAATTTAATAAAAACGTGCGTTTTTAAGGAATTTTTAAATACAGCAGAAATCAATTAGTTTAAAAAAAAATGAAGTAACGGAAACAACTGTAATGTAATATGTGGTACATCAAGATCTGGATTATATGAATACATACAAAAATATATATATATATATATATATACATACATGTTGATATATGCCCGTTATTCACGCCTGACATCAAATAATAAAAAAATAGTTCACGATTTAATTAGTAATCCATTCTATTTTGCTGGAAAAAACTTCCTTCTTTGTATCAAACTGATTCTCGAAACTGTGTAATTCCATATCATGGATTCTCGTTTACATGTTTCCGAAATCAAAACACTTACGTCAATAATCCTCGACTGCAGATTTTCAAAAAACGCTTTTCAAACAGGATCGCACGTATATTTACAAATGATGTATATTTCGCAACATGCACACTTGTTATTTGCGTACACGTGCCGCTTCGGTATACAGGATTTCTAATTGCATATCAGCGGTTCGCAATATTCATTGTAGAGTCGCTTGCAAGTGAGGCTGAAATCAATGACGTTACTTAATCTCGCTTAAAACATTTGACCTATCACAGTGACTGGTCGCACTCCCGCCCCGTTGTTCACATTATTCATGTTAACGTGAATATGAGTGACTGGTATGTGATGATGATTGTGATCCTCGACGATCATCTCGCTCATCTCGCCGTACTGAGCGCGGCAACGTTTCTGGTGCGCAAAGAGGCTGCCGCTATGACTGTATGCGGCGCCGCACGTTTTACACACGTACGGCTTCTCGCCGGAATGAGTATACGTGTGCTCCTTCAGCGTGCTGAGTCTCTTGAAGGCCTTGCCGCACGTTTTGCACAAGTAATTCGCCTCGCCGGTGTGCCGCGTCAAGTGTCTGCGAAAGGCCGAGCTCACGGCGAAGGCGGCGCTGCAGACATGACAGACGAACGGTTTGTCGCCCGTGTGAATGCGCATATGATTCGCCAGGCTCGTCGTAGTTGTGAAGCCGCTGTTGCACGTGGTGCACACGTGCGGCTTGACGCCGGTGTGAGTGCGCATGTGGTACGTGAGAGACGAATTGCTCGGATACACTTTGCTGCAGATATGACAGAGATACTCGCGCGGTACTTTCTCCTTCGGTTTGTGCGTCTTCTGATGCAAAACGAGACGAGCCTGGCTGGCGCAAACCTTCCTGCAGATCTCGCAGGTCACGGGCTCAGCCTTGGGCTTGTGCATCGACACGTGCCGCCGCAGGCCCTTCTTGGTAGCCATGGCCTTGTCGCAGTGTTGACACTTGTATTCTCCTTCCTCGTCGCTCTCCTCTTTCTTGATGCTCTCATTCTCCGGCGCGGGATCCGCCGTGTTGTTGCTCGGCATATTGTCGTCGTCCGAATCGTATAGCTTGTTGTCGTCCGCCAAATTGTCCAACAGTCCGTGTCCGTGCTTCTCCGCGTGTTTCTTTAACGTGTCCGGCCTAAAGAACCATTTCTTGCACACGGTGCAAGAATACTTTTTATCACCGTGCACGAGAGCGTGCCTCTTCAAATTCTTCAAGGACGAACAAATCTCGCTGCAGATCTCGCATTTGTACAACTCTGGCGCGTTCTCGAACTCGTCCATTTCGTTTGCGGGTCCGGTCTCGTCCTCGGTGTCGTTCTCAATCTTGAGCTCCTTCTTCGGTTCTTTGCTGTCCTTTCGCTCGTTTGTATTGATCTGCTTAATCATATCGTTCACTTTGTCCGTGTGAGACTTCAAATGCCTCACGAGGCTCTGCGGCTTGGAGAAGGACGCGCGACAGAGTTCGCACGCGTGCGGCTTCGACTTGTGTATCTTCTGATGCTTCTCCATATTCTCCTGTTTGTAAAACATCTTTAAGCAGATGTTGCATTTATACTTCTTCTCGTGTACCAACGAATGCTTCTTCAGACCCTTCTGTGTGGCGTATTTCTTCGAGCAGACTTTGCATTTGAACTTTGACTCCACCGAATCTTGGCTGTCGCTGCTCGGCTCATAATAATTATCACCAATTTCGTCGTCGCTGTACATCTTGGTTAATTTTGCTTTTCTCGTAGACGTACGTTTCTGCGGGATGCTCTCCTCTTCTATATTATCATTGGATAAAGTTTCGCTGATAAATTGTTCCTCCTGTTCTACACTATTCTTTTCTATGTACTGCTCGACTTCCTTGGTCTCATTATCTTTGTTCTGTAAACTCATAATGTTGGTTGCATCTTCTGTATCTTCCTGTACTATTGTTATTTGATGGACCTCGGTCTCTGGTATGCAAGGATCTTTCACTTCCTCTTCTTTATTCCCTTCAAATCCAATAGAACATATAAACAGCTTGTCTTCCGGCAAATGAATTTCATTGGCATTTACCAGATGAGCAGCATCATCTTTGCAAAATGTATCAGTGGCCTGAATATACTCCTGTGGGTTTGCGACCACCTGCATGTCTTCCTTCGTAAAATTGGATAGTGCAATTCTCGATTGTAGATCTGTTTGTGTGTAAGAATCCTAAAAAAATAATATGACGTATGCATATATTGTGCATTTTAACACAAAAATATAGCTACATAAAATAATATTTACCATGCTATTATATTTCACAGGCTTATTATAGTACATGCGCAACCTTGCATCAGAGTGTTGACACTGCTCCCTAAACTCATGCGCAACACCGGCTTTATAAATACAAGCGTCGCATATTAAGGAAGGTAATCCATCCTGTTCGTGTATCTCGATGGAACCACAGACTTGTATTTTTTGAGAAAGACCAGACATATCATTGACTTCTTGATTATTGGAGAAGATTGGGGATAAATTGGTACCTTCGGTCAGACAGATCCTGCACACTCTATCCATATTAAGCGGCAAGGCAAAGTAATCTGAAGTCATTGTTCCACCAAGAATAAGACATTCACCTGGCATAAGTTACCTGCAGGACAAAAAAATGTGATATGAAATAAAAGTGCTCCCTTAAATAAAAGGTATAAGTACAACGATCGTACATTTACTGACAAAATAGAAATTTCTTTATAAAATAAGTTTGAACGAATACTGCAAGATATTGCAATATGTTACATGGTTAATATTATATAGTGCATCTCGATGATACTTTATTATAGTGTAACGAGATCTTGGCAACAATAAAACAATCTAATATATTTCATGACGTAAACGAGCTGTCGGATCAAATTTTGCTGCGAATGCAGTCGTACACGGGACGCCGCGTACCGACACAATGCTGCGAGATGTTCCTTTTCATTGTGCAAATTTTTGGCACACAGAGATAAGAGATTAATATACAAAACCGAGCGGTTCTCAACTTCGAATACCTTGTGCGTTGAAACATGCCACGATAGATGCCGATGTCCAGGCAAATGACGCGGCGAACTAGACACTCGGCAATCTCGTGTTTCTCGCTCTCGAGCCCTTCTCAGAGCGCTGCGTTCCCGTGACAGCTTCGTGTCGTACGAAAACGCGACGCGCGCTGTTTCATAATCGATCCGTTGTTTCCCGACAATTTGGCGAGTCCGCCGAATATTTAGCACCCGACTGGCCCTTTGTCTCGGTTCCTTCAACGATCGACCGCGAAAGTTGAGAGCAATCTGAGACGAGCGCTTCGTTCCGCGAACAAAGTGTGGGTGGGTCAATACAAAGAAGAGTCGATCGCGAAATGTGTATGTATGTATCCGAATGTCGAGGGTCAGTTGCATTGGATCCTATTAATTGATCAACAATTATAGCTGTCTCTTTTCATACGCTAGCTCTGAATACAATCGTAGATGGAAATGCAAAAAGAATTTGTCAAGATTGCAATATGCGGCATGAATTTAACGCATAGATGTGATGTGCGCGAATTCTGTCGAATGCAGAGAACTGGGCATAAAATGTCTAATATAAAGATTTATTCAAACAAAGCATATACGTAAAACAATCAGCCATTCGTGCAAGTAATATGAAGAATTAATAATATAATACAGCTTTTACATTAAACATTTGATTGGTCAGTTATGGACCATTAGTTATTCATTTTCATCCAAATAAACTTTTAGGATATTTAGACAAATTTGCATAATCTCAAAATACACATGAAGGAATAAAGAAATCATTTCCATAATGTAAATTTATATCATAAAATTATAATCAATTTTTTATGTATATACGTTATGTCGTTATGCAAGTTTTTTGGAACCTTAAGCTTGATTCATCTCATCTGCAGTGGTACGAATTATCTCCTTCAGAAATGTAGAGAAAATAGAGAAAGTAAATCTTTGGCATTTTACAATTAATTTCAAGATATTTATTCAAAATTTAACTTAATGAGATTTAAACGCACAATATTTACATATCGCATCAAAAATAGATTTGTGAAAATTGAATTAATTGAAGCAATCCAAAGTACAAAGTTGGAACGTGTCAAATAAAACTGTATATTCAATGACTGAATACGTCAGATAGGTGTTTGCCTGCTCTCTTGACATTTCTTAGGCATGATTTCCGAATAGCTCTCTTATTCGCCAATTTGTCAAAAAATGTGAATTTAAGACGGGAGATTGATGCATTTATATATTTTCGGTTAACTGTAATGGTATTAGGACCATATGTTAGCCGATTAAATCAGAACGTCTGGCCGATGTGCGAGGAAGCCCCTTAAGTGATTTCGGCGAGAACGGTATTAAATTTTTTAAATGCGATCATGGCACTCCGTAAAGTAAAGGGAAACTTCGAACGGATGTTCGACAAGAATCTGACAGATTTAGTGCGTGGAATCAGAAATAATAAGGAAAATGAGGTGATTTTTTATTGGCTCTGTTTTACAATTTTTCTGAAATCTTATCAAAATCTAACCTAACTTTTCTCATCTATTTTATTTATTCTGCGATTAATAATCGGCTTAAAGAGATTTTTTTTATTTTTAGGCGAAATATATTGCACAATGCATTGAAGAGATCAAGCAAGAATTACGGCAAGATAATGTGGCAGTCAAAGCAAACGCTGTGGCCAAGTTAACATATGTAAGTTTTGTACAAATGTAGAGGTCAATATGGTGTAATTTATACAATTGCTTTAATATGATTAAGCTTAATTATACTTAATTTATTCCCAAGTATGTTGATGATTAATATACCACTCATATATTTTCAGCTCCAGATGTTGGGGTATGATATCAGTTGGGCAGGCTTTAATATAATAGAAGTAATGTCATCAGCAAAGTTTACTTATAAACGAATTGGCTATCTTTCTGCAAGCCAGAGCTTTCATGCAGATACAGAGGTAAAATTTATTTCACATAAAATTTCGGTGGAACTTTTATAAAAAATTTTTCAAGCACGTATATTTATTCTTTATTTTTATTACAACATTACACGCTGAATTGCTGATCATATTTATATATTTACCATGTCAAATAAGTTAAAAGTACAATAGGTAATTATTTGTGTACATATATATGCAGCATTTAAATTAATAAAATTAAAAAGAAATTATTTTATTTGTTATAGTTACTGATGCTAACAACAAATATGATTCGAAAAGACTTAAACAGTCAAAACCAGTATGATGCTGGTTTAGCCTTGAGCGGTTTATCTTGCTTTATAAGCTCAGATTTAGCTCGTGATCTGGTTCATGACATTATGACTTTATTGACCTCTACAAAGCCGTACTTGCGTAAAAAGGCAGTTTTGATGATGTATAAAGTATTTCTGAGATTTCCTGAAGCCCTGAGACCTGCATTCCCTAGATTGAAGGAAAAACTTGAAGATCCTGACAGTGGCGTTCAAAGTGCAGCAGTAAATGTAGTATGCGAATTAGCCAGAAAAAATCCAAAAAATTACTTGAGCTTGGCGCCTGTTTTCTTCAAGCTAATGACGACTTCTACAAACAACTGGATGCTTATCAAAATTATCAAGTTGGTGAGTGTGTATTATTATCAGTTTCTCTACAGTTTCAAGAAGTTTACAGCATTTTCTCATGCATTCTTGACAAATCATGAAATGATCATATTCATAACTATTTTTTCAATAAGTGTGTAATAATAATTTTAAATGTAACATTTTACACGCACGACTTTTCTTCATTATAAGCCATACTGGTTTTGTTTCTCATACTCAGTTCTCAACTATAACTCTGATTGAGCCAAAACTGGGTCGGCGACTTACTCAACCATTAATTGACCTGATTTCAAGGTTTCACATTACTTGATATTTTTTTTATACGCAGTAAAATTATATTTATTGCAGCTGATGCATATTGGTAGCATCGATATACATATTAGCGAGCATTTTGTAGAATCATTCATATTATATTTTGCACATAGTATGCATTTTGATTATTTCATTTATTCATAGTAATATTTGTTATAGTATAAATTCAAAGTAATAATCAAGCTACTTCTCTATTAAAATCAATTTATCGAGTATTTCTTAGGATGCAACATTGACATTATATTTTCAGTTTGGAGCATTGACACCTCTAGAACCTAGGCTTGGCAAAAAGTTAATAGAACCCCTTACGAATTTGATACACAGGTATCTAATTTTATTCTAAAGTATTAATATTGCGTTTGCCATGTTAGCAGCGCTTATATAATACAGCTTTACATCTTAGAGATTTATATTTTTATCTCAGTCTTTTTATTTTTTGTAATATGCATAGTATCTTACGACATATTTATTATTTTTGTATTTTTGAGTCGATCTTTGATATAATTCACAGTGTAACATCTATTTCTAGTACATCCGCAATGTCTTTACTGTACGAATGTATCAATACAGTCATAGCCGTATTGATTTCTATATCATCTGGTATGCCGAATCACTCTGATTCGATACAGCTGTGTGTTCAAAAACTGAGAATATTAATAGAAGACTCCGACCAAAACTTAAAGTATTTGGGCTTATTGGCTATGTCGAAAATATTGAAGACTCATCCAAAGAGTGTGCAAGCTCACAAGGATCTCATCATGCAATGCCTCGACGACAAAGACGAAAGTATAAGACTGCGTGCCTTGGACTTGTTGTACGGAATGGTTTCCAAGAAGAATCTAATGGAGATAGTTAAGAAATTAATGGTGCACATGGACAAAGCCGAAGGCACTACGTATCGCGATGAATTACTATCAAAAATTATTCAAATTTGCTCACAGAATAATTATCAGTTCATCACCTATTTCGAGTGGTAAATATCAGAGAGTTTTGCAAGTGAATCCACAATTCTAGGACGAGTTACAGAAAAGTGTTCGTACTCTTCACAGGTACATATCTGTATTGGTGGAACTTACACGAATGGAAGGCACCAAGCACGGACCATTAGTAGCAACTCAATTACTTGACGTAGCAATTCGTGTACAGGCTATACGAAAATATGCAGTTCAACAATGTGCCTTACTGCTTGAGAATTCATATCTCTTAACCGGCCAGCCAAGAGCGACTATGTCCGAAGTTTTGTATGCAGCAGCATGGATTTGTGGAGAATTCTCCAGGTAATAATTTTGTAGAAATGACACAACCCTTTGCGGACATGAAATGTTTCCGATAATAGCATATTTTTGTCGTTTTGGACGTAAAAAATTCTTAATGTGCATTGCGAGCCCATTTCGTCCGCAAAGGGTTAATCAGTATACTTAATAATCTATTAAATTTGACAATCTGTTAAATTAATAGTGACTTGGAAGACCCTTTAGCAACATTGCAATCTCTGTTGCGATCACAAGCTTCTAGTTTGCCAGGACATATACAAGCAGTTTACGTTCACAATATATTAAAGCTGGCTGCAACGACATTCGCTAAAGCCGAAAAGGAAGAAGACACTGAAACCATGGACAAGGTATAAAATTTATTTATTGTGTGTTATTAATAAAATATTAAAAAACTTTTTAATACTTATGTATTAATTTATTGAATATATTTACGTTAAATTAATGAAATACTTGGTTCTAATATTAGCCCTTATTTTGCAGATTTATAACTTGAAGGACAAAATAACTGCTTTCGTCTGTAGTGGCGATTTGGAAGTTCAGGAGAGATCAAGCTCCGCATTGGCATTGCTTGAATGTATAAAAGAGAATCCTGGTCTAGCACAAGAGTTAGTGGAGACTTTTGAAGGTGAACTGAATCCAGTTGCGCCAAAGGCTCAAAGAAAAGTAGGAATTTTTCTTTTTTTTTATATAAATTACGAAAAAGAATTAATATGTGAATTAATGTAATTTCATGATGTTTTTCAGGTTCCAATACCCGAAGACTTAGATTTGGACTCTTGGATCAACGATCCACCTTCAGAGAGCTCTGATTCAGAGGATTTGGATATGAATGATATTTTTATCAAGGCGGAGAAGTCGAACGATTCGTACTCCAAACGGGACTTAAGCGAGCCGTCGTTGGAAGAGCTCGAGAGGAGACGCGAAGCGAGAAAACTAGAGCAGGAGAATAATCCTCATTACCTAAAAGGCTCTTTTAAGACTTCTACATCATATCACAATTCATCGAATGCATATGAAGACTTCGATAACATTCCCGTCGCGGAATTAGATATCCCAATCTCTTTAAAGATTTCTAACGTACATAGATGTCAAGATATAGATAGCGCCCATAAAAGGCATAAAAAGCATGAGAAGAAAAAGAAATCGAAGAAAAGTAAAAGTAATTGTCCTAATATGTATTATACGTACATGTTTTATAACGCGTGAAATTATATTAAATATTTTACTGTTGAGAGTTTGAGATTTTTTTCGTTGAATGTTTTTCAGATAAAAAGTCTGCATCGGAAGAGGATGAACAGGACGACAGTTTGCCATTGCAAATAGTAAACACTGGCGTAGGAGAACTGCCTCCGGGAGCAGAAATAAGCGATAGTGACGATTACGATTTAGTAGATGCGAACGATCCACACAGAGCTTTGAATATCGATTTAGATTTGCCTTTACGAGAAGACGAGAGATTGCCTGTCTTGGAACATAGAGTAATCGAAAACAATATAACGAAGAAGATGGAAGGAAAAGGAAGCAAAAAGGAAAAAGTAAAATATTTTTTTTTTATACTAATAAGCGTTTTAATAATTTGAATTTGTTCGATTTATTTGTATATTCTTAAAATAATTGTGAATAATTTATTCATTATACTTTGATAGGGACATAGAAAATCTAAAAGAAAAGTCAAAGTTATCGCGGAGAACAAAGTAAACAATCAAACAGAATCATCCGACTTGTGGTTGGAAACTAATTCGTCCCTCGAGAAAGTGCAGTCTCCTGCTCTTGGAGGATACACAGAAATGTCCAGTGAGTCGCAGAAAGACAGCAAACGCAAGAAGTCGAAGAGCCAAGACAAACACAAGAAGTCGAACGAAGAGAACGCCAAACATAGAAAATCGAAGAAGTCGAAGAGCAAGAAGGAAAACAAGTCGCTGGATTACGAGGAAACGGCAGGAATATCCACTCCATCGAAGGAAATATTGCCGGATCTAAAGGACGACATTGCGAACTCCGAATACAACGCAAATTCTATACAGCAGAATGTTTCCTACGAAGAATTAGCCAAGAATAAAGTAATTTCCATGATGTACGAATTGAGACAAATCCCTCACGACCCGAGTAAAGTTATCGTATCGATTCAAATTACGAATATAGGTCAGCCGCTTGTGAAGGAATTAGTCTTTGATGTTTCAGATACAACGTCACTCAAATTAGTTAGAAATGTGAGTTGATGCGTTTGAATATCTTAATATATACGCTTCAATCCACAGCTAAAAATGTAACATATCGTGTTCTCTCTTTCTAGCCTGGAGACGAATTTGGGATAAAACTGCCGCTCCAACTGCCTCTGCAATCTAGTAAAGAAACTGAATTTACAATTCTAGTCTCGGACGTAACGTTTGCTCAGAGACTTAGAGGTACATTGACATACATGTTTGAAGGTAAAGAGGGCACGCAGCAAGAGAAGCTCGATTTCACCGTGCACTTGTCATGCAGCAAGTTCATGGTTGGACATTTGTCCCATAAGGATATACTCACGGAACTTCTCAAAAGCGGTCAATTAGTATCTAAGATTAGAAAAGAAATAATGCCTTCTCAGGACTTCGATGCGGTTCTGCGTGTTATTTGCCGCAAATGCAATCTCACGCTTGTGGAACAGATTGACGACACTGCATCTTTATACGGACACTCTTTGAAGGGACATCATGTGTGCCTTTTGTTAAAATATAACGTAAGTTAGATCATATTGCTTTTCTCTAGCAGTAAATTATTTAATGGCTATGATTAAAAAATGTAAATATTTATATATATATAACATACGTTAAGAATAAATCTAAAATTAAGTTTACGTTTGACTTTAAAGACCGAATTTCTTTGTAAGATCAGCAATATCATGCTTCGATGGCTTTTTATGTTACAGAGAGCGACGGGAAATCTAGTGATTGAAGGTAAAGGTGACAATAATTCATTACTGTCGGGAATCGGAGAAGAGATATCGAGGATCCTAACATAATACCGATTTAAACTCGATTGTCTATATTTTGCGATTATCGATTCCTATCCCACGTCACAGTCATATTAAACATACACTTGGCAGTGAGAGAAATACTTCGACTGTGTCTATTAACACGAAGTATAGACATATAGCCGGCTATAGCGTATCTGCGAACCCATTAAATATTTTCAGAAGGAATCTTACCTAAACTTTACGTATAATCTAGGTAAAAGAGAAAGGAATTTGTTAAATATTTAAGAGAAGATATACATATGTATACACACATTATATACACATGCATAAATATATGTATACACATGTCTATATGCGCGCGAAACAGCGGAAGGAAAGAGAGAGAAAGAGAGAGAGAGAAAGAGGGAAGGGGAGCTTATTGCCAAGAATTGAAGACACTGGAATAAAAGTAGATTAATGTTTCTATATAGAATTTAAGTCTGGCATGGCACTGACGCGTGCTAAATATAGGGGGACTTGAATCATCCTTGAAGATAATTAATCCACTTTACAGCTATAATTATCGAATGATATATTGATATATCTTTGAAAAAAAACTTCTGTAAATTACTACACTTTCTTATCTGTACAATGTTGCATTTACTACATGTGGCATGTAATAATTGGAGATATAGCTTACGAATAAAAGTCTAATTGCTAAGGCGCAATTCTTTGTACAGGAAATAAACAGTTGCGAAACAGAAACGATCGACCCTACTTTTACGTTCAATGCCTTCAATTTTTGTGTCCAATTGGGATGACACTTCGAGTGCTATTGTTGAGATCTTTATTATTTTGTAAAATACATGAAATATTATATATCTAGTGCGCGATATTACGCCCTTTGTAAATCACGAGTTAAGGAGCATGGAGCATACAGATGGAGAGCGTGTTTTGCATGCAACGCTTCCACCATCGATAATTGATAAGACGAGAAGTTATGTGAATTCAAAATTGAACAGATTGTAAGTCACTTGTATACAGGCATAGGAATCACGTACAGTTGCGGAAAAATGTGCTTTTAATTCTTTTGCAAAGGACTTAAATTGCATCAAGTTTTATATTCTTTTTTTCCTTTTTTTTTTTATATATTTTATATATTCCCATATCTTGTTTTGAGATTCAATATAAAGAGATTATGTTTGCATTTTCTAGATTTTTTCATATTAACTATCCAACCGATTAATCAATTAACGAAATTGGTTATTAAACGTGTGCCAAAAAATTATTAGAAGTTTCGATTACTCAAATAATGCTTTCTTTCTAGAGCAATTTTTGTGCAACGCAACATTGATTTTTGAATATTCTGTTATTTTCTGAATTACACGCTAATAATTTTGTTTTATAGCTGGAAATTCAAGAAAAAAACAAACAAACTATATATATCGTCATAATACCAAATATTTTTGATTTTGTAAACTTCATATATATTTTATGATGTATTGCTATTTTAGAAAAAAATCTAATATTTTTTTCAATATATGATTTATATGCAAAAATGAGCGGTTTGACCATGACATGTTTTATTATAAATTATATTCTAAAAAATACGATTGAGGCCAGCATTTCTTTATTAATTACGCATTTATCCTTTAAATCTTTTCATGCAAATGTGTATGGAATAACGTCCTGTTATAAATGGTTTGTGAAAGTTCATTATTCAAAAACGTATTAATCTACGAGCTCAATTAAAAATCTCATTTCAATGAAACATATATTTGCTATGCCACTCCTTGCACGCACGTATAACAAATAAAGAATCGCTTTAAGATTTTTATAAAATGCTCGTTTTTTGTTTTGTGGCCGAATCGGCACAAGTATTTGTCTTAATGCACTCGTAGATCAAATAAAGATAAATGGCTCGAGATACGCGACGTTCCGGTGAGTGATGTGCGATTCTTAATTTATGCGATAATCATTCATGCACATATACTTTCGTGCAACACTCGACTGGAAGGTAAACCGCGAGGACTAAGGACGACCGTGATTCAACCAGATTCGTCGACCTCACACTACTCCCACACGAAATTCATGGTCGCGCAGTCGTTCTCTCTCTACGAAGAGTTATCATCTTTGTCGAATAAATCCCGTTTTATCGATGCAGATCTTCATGTAATGCCAAAAATATCGTTTCTACCACTTTTGCATCAAAAAGTGATTTATTTAATTTCAATGTCTGCGCAAACATTTCTTAGAACACTCGTCAATGTTGATTGATTCATCCGTTTTCAGAAATAAAGGCGATTGTAGCTCCCATGTTTTACTTGGAAAAACATGTAAGAATGCAGTTTTTAAAAATCAATGAACTCTTTTCCCGCACTCGTATCATTTTATCAGAAATGTTATTTTGTTGATTTAATTCGTACTACAAAGTATTCGTCATACGCTCCGGAATGTTTGTTATTCCATATTTGCAACGCAAAGTAAATGTTGACTTATCATTGCTCTTTGATTAAAGATTATCTTTTCAATTAATCTTTCTTCGATTTATCTTATGAGCTGAAAAGTACGAGTAATATTTTCAGAAAAAAATATACTTTATTTTCTTTTCACATATATAGATACACTGCGTATAGAAACGTGGAGAAGGAAAAAGTTAAATGCCCATTATTGCAGTCAAGTCACGTTTTAGTCGGCAGTCAGACGACCATACGTGTTTTTCAAGATTTTATATCATGAGTCTGAATATCAATCAGTCAAAGTGACGTATTATGATTTATCGCGGAATTTGGTTCAAAATTTTTTATTTTTTGATTGCTTCTATTTGGAAAAATAATCCAGAATTTTGTTCTGGAAAATTAAGATTAAACTTCTTGTACTTTCTATTAGTAAACTAGAAGCAGTTATTAAATTAATGTGAACAAAAGATTAATTTCGTAAAAGAAAACTGTAATTAATTTTTGTTAATATCATTAAAGAGTGTCAACGGAAAGATAAAAATTACGATTGTATCAATATTTATTGGGAACGGAAACCATCAATGTCATCGTGATTTATCGCTATGTGAACGAAATAATATTTGTTGTAAAATATTTTTTACAAAATTGCAGCATGCTAAACGTGTTGATGATGTATTAATTAATACATACATTTATTTGTATATTTACGGATTATTGATTTATTTTTGTAAAATATCTCATTTTAATAGTAAATAAATTAAAAGTATACGGTAAAAAAAGATATCTTGCGAAGAATTTTTTGAAAGTAGTACAGATAAATACTTAAGTGTGTTATGTCAATGCGAGACTGATCTTATAATGTTACGCAAGTCAAATAATATTTAAATATCTGCTGGACATTTGAAAAGAAAGGAGTGAAATATATTGATTTATGAAGCGTGTATGTATATTTGCAATGTTTACGAGATAAATAGAAGAGAGTTTTGATTGAAGTAAAAATTTCATCTTAATTAATGATCATCTGAAAAAGTCGAGAGACATGATATCTGTCAAATTTAATGGAAGTTTAAATCCGACGCAATCCGTTTACTTGAGGAAAAAGTGTTTATTACCAACATCTTGAAACAATCTAGATATCTTTATCATTGCAATAGAAATATCCTTTAAGCCTTCGGGATTTCGCAAATGTCTTTACTAAGCTCTTGTTTAATGATGAAATAAGCCCAAGGATTAATAATCACAATACCAATGTTTCTTGTATGTCGCCTTTGTATTTTTACATTGAAAAATCATCCCAAAGAAAAAATCAATTTAAAAAAATTTTGAATATATAACAAGTACAAATGATGGCGCTAAAATACAGAAAGCGCACTTAGCCGCTTTTTGTCTGCTTAATAAATTATCAATAATTATATAATAATTAACAAATTATCATTATTGTATCATATAGGATCGTAAAAATCGCAACTACTGCGCTACAATCAAATTTATCGAGCACGCACAAACGCAGAAAAGTATTATGAATACTTATATTTACTTACTCGCATAAGTGTGCTGCACGTACTTGTCCCGTATAAGGATTTACCTTCGTTTACGTCACATACATACGAATAAATTCCCGGTGTAGAGTCACTCAGCCCCTTGAATCGGCAACTTGTACGCTCGTTTTCGGCTGTGCGCCGATAATATCGACGCGAGATCCAAAATGTCAACGACGAAACAGGACGTGTTGCACCCTCGAGACGCGCCACTTGAACTAGCATCGTCGTGTCAATCGGCCGGTTGTGCACGAATACAAATTTGTTTGGCCTCTCTCGCCGGTGCTCCGCCGAAATGATACACGTACGAAACGGTACCGTGAGCGCGAGTCGCACATGCCATGATGCTATATAAATAATACTTCGCGCTAAGTCAGATCAGTCGACTTGCGGCGGTCGTACCTGTCGCGACATATAATGTAACGGATCTTTGGAGATTAAAGCATCTCACATATTCGATTGCATCTTTGCTTCCTTTCAGTCTTTCTTCTGCCCGTCTGTGGTTGTCTGACCAACCCCTTGCTTTATTCCTCTCTTCTTTCGCTTCTTATCCTCAACTCGATACATCGCCTTTGATTTCTGTTACGCTATCGCACACGAGGAAGTCAGCGACTCGACCGGTATCTAGTGGTTCATCCTACAAAGATGTCACACGACAATTTGGGATTTACATCGAGTACGGTGAGTACACAAATATATGTGCAAAGTGTTGGTGACGGGTTTTCAGGCGTAAGAAAGCGTGAATATTTTAGCGGAGATTGGAAAGAAAAAGAAATATCGAGCTCTCTATTGATATCTCCGTAGCGATTTTGATACACGACAGTTTTCGCCGAATCACACCTGCGAATACACTCTAATGTTTTCCAGTGCTCAAATTTGCGACATAAATCGTCTTTGTTTTTATTTAATTTTTGCTGGCGGTTTATTTGCCAAAATCATTTCGTGAAAGAATATCCTTCGCGAGTATAAAGTTGTAAACATACTTTCCTTCTTTCTCGGTTGAGAAAGCGTAGAATGAAGTGTTGACATGAAAAGGAATACAAATGCGGAAAATTGCGAATTTTAGAAAAAGTTATGAAGAAAGTTTTATTTACAAAAATGCAGAAAAAGACAGTTTCTCACGTTGAATAATGATGACAGATAAATTTCTCCAAAACGTGGCATTTAACGCCACGTTTGTATATTCAGTTTTTCCGAATCTTATATCCAGAAATTACTCACAAAGAAAATGCGCACAATAAAAAAGTTTTATGACTTAAAATGATAAAATATTTCCAACAATAAAATATGCACATGAGTCTTATATAAAAGAAAACAAACTTATATAAGACAACCAATATTTCTCGCGAATAATTTCTTTTTAGTGAAAAACTAGCATTTCTCATTGTGTGTGTTATTTCGCGTTTGTGGAGTTGATAATAATACACATTTTTTTTCCGCATATCTTTTAAAGTACAGTTTTATCTAAGCATGCATAATTCACATATGATAACATAATGTACAGATATAAGAGACCTCAAAGTGCATACTAAAATTGTACTAAAAATGTATTTTAACGCAATTTTTTGCGTCATTTCAAGGGTAAGTCAAAGTCAAAGACATTTAAGTAAAATGATAGTCGAAATGATTTACATTGCAATGTATTATCATATAATTCACTTTAAAAAACTTGATCGAAAAAGTTCCTCTGCTTTTAACTTTCTCTCGTATTTGACAAATTTATACTATTACAAGCTATTTAATATTAAACGATTAAAATATTATTAAGTTAAAATCAATAATTTAGATTTGAATCTTTGATTTCGATAATTTTTATAATTGCTAATAAATTTTCGCTTTCGCTATATCTCAAGATTAAATTTTAAGTCATTAAGATAAGACACTTAGAAATGTGGATCATGAAGATAACATTTAAAATATATAACCTGTTTCTTGTGTTCAGGTAGCAAAAAACAATCGCCTTTACTGAGTCGGAGATTT